CCACTGAAGAGTACACTCCCAGCTTATTCCTCAATAATAAAATGTGTATATAATATGTATCTTTATAAATAAAATAGTTTTGTAATATGAACTCAATGAGAACATCTATGTGTTTCCAGCATGATCACAACTCCAGGATGATCACAAAAACAGTATTTCATCAACATCCATTATTTCACACTTTCAGCATCTCTGAAAAATGGCCACATCTTAAAAGTGACAGTAAAGCACACTCATAGTTTAATTGGCAGCATTTTTCTGTTCTTAATGATACATAAAATAATAATGCCTTTTATAAATGATAGTGTCTTAGAATAGATGAAATACAGTAATCAATGTTAAATTTACTTAAACTGAATTATATCGAGATGAAGTGTATGTTTTCTGTTTAATACCTCATGATAAAGTGAAATTCATAGTTTTTGATGCATTCTTTTAAATGTTTAAAAACTTAAATTATCATGTAACAATTTATAGGTTATGCCTTTTTAATTTACTTTAAAAATTACTCAAGTGTATGTGTGTGTATATATACATATATATGTCAAAACTGATGAAGAGGTCTAATCTCAACCTTCTAAATTCTTCATTTATCCTTTTCTTTGGGGGAGGAGCTGGAACATATAACATAAGATCTACCCTTTTAACAAATTTTTAAGTGTACGGTACAGTGTTGTTAACTATAAGCACAATGTTGTGCAGTAAATCTCTGCAACATTTTCATCTTGCATAACTACAACTTTATATTCAGTGGACAGCAACTTCCCACTCTCCCCACTCCCCACCCCCTGGCAATGACCATTTTCCTTTCTGCTCCTATGATTTTGACTACTTTAGATGCCTTTTATATAACTGTAAACGTGTGGTATTTATCTTTCTGTGGCTGTCTTATTTCACTTGGCATATTGCCCTCAAGGTTCATACATTTTGTCACATGACAGGGCTCTCTTCTCCTTTAAAATTGAATAATATTCCATTTGTGTATATACACCACATTTTCTAAATCTATTCATCCCTTGAGGGGCATGTTGTCTATTGTGAACAACGCTGTAATTAACATGGCAGTGCAAATATCTATTTGAGATCCTGATTTCGATTCTTTTGGATCAATACTCAGAAGTGAGATTGCTGGATCATATGGTAGTTCCACTTTTACTTTTTTAAGGAAACTTCACTTGTTTTCCATAATTGTTATGCTATTTCAGTCAACAACAGTGCACAAGTGTTCAAATTTCTCCATATCCTCACCAACACTTTTTTTTGTTTTGACAATGGATATCTGATTGTGGTTTTGATTTGTATTGCCCTGATAATTAGTGACACTGAGCATATTTTCATACCTGTTGGCCATCTGATTGTTATCTTTGGAAAAATGCTTATTCAAGTTCTTAACCAATTTTTTAATCATATTGTTAAAGTGTTTTTGCTATTGAGTTGTAGGAGTTCCTTACATATTATGGAAATTAACCCTCATGAGATATATGGTTTACAAACATTTTCTCCCATTCCATCAGTTGCCTTTTCACGCTATTCATTGTTTCCTTTGCTATGCAGAAGTTTTTTAGTTGACATAGTTACATTTGTCTATTTTTGCTTTTGTTACCTGTGCTTTTGGTGTCATATCCAAGAATTCATGGCCAGGGTCAATGTGAAGAAACTTTGTCCCTAGTTTTCTTCTCATAATTTAAATCTTTAATCCACTTTGAGTTGATATTTGTGAATGGTGTAAGATAATCATTCTTTTGCATGTGGATATGTAGTTTTCCTAATACCATTTGTTGAAGAGAGTATCCTTTCCCCGTGTGTATTCCTGGAGCCTCTGTTGGAGATCAGTTGACCATATATGTGTGGGTTTTTCCTGGACACTCTGTTCTGTTCCACTGGTCTGTATGTCTGTCTTTATGACAGTACCATACTGTTTTAATTATTGTAGCTCTGTAATGTATTTTGAAATCAGAAAGTGAGAGGCCTTCAGCTTTTTTCTATTTTCTCAAGATTGTTTTGGATATTTGGGGTCCTTTGTGGTTTCATATGAATTAGGTTTAATTTTTCTTTTTCTATTAAAAATGCCACTGAGATTTTGATAGGGATTGCATTTGAATATGTAGATCACTCTGAGTACTATGGACATCTTAACAATCTTCCAATCCATGAACATGTCATTCCACTTATTTGTGTCATCTTTAAAGTCTTTTAGTAATGTTTGGTACTTTTTAGGGCACGAGGCTTTCAACTTTTTAGTTAAATTTATTTACCTCCTTAGTTACGTTTATTAAGTATATTATAGTTTTTCATGCTATTTTAGATGCAACTGCTTTCTTCATTTCCTATTCAAATTGTTCATTATCAGTGTATAAAAACAACCAATTTTTGTATGTTAATTTTGTAGCCTGCAAGATTACTGGATTTCTGTACTAGTTCTAACAGTTTTATTGTGAAGTAATTTAGGGTTCTCTACTTACAGAATCAGGTCCTCTCAAACGAAGACCATTTAATTTCTTCCTTTCTGACTCAGATGGCTTTTAATTTCTTTTTCTTGCCTAACTGCTCTGCTAGGACTTCCAGTACTGTGCTGAACAGAAGTGGTGAGAGTGGGCATCCTTGCCTTGTTCCTGATCATAGAGGAAAAGCTTTCAGCTTTTCACTGTTGAGTATGTATTTGCTGTGGGCTTTTTCTAAATAAGCTTTATTAAATTGAGGTAATTTCCTTCTATTTCTGAATGTTTTTATCACACAAGGGTGCTGAATTTTGAATGTTTTTATCACAAACGGGTTTGAATTTTGTCAAATGCTGCATCTTCCAAGATGACTGCATAATTTTTACCCTTCGTTCTGTTAAGTGGTGTATCAAATTGATTGATTTCAAATCTTGAACCATCCTTACATCCCAGTGATGAATTCCACTTGGTCATTCTGTGTGATCCTTTTAATGTGCTGTTGAAATCAGTCTGCTGGTATTTTGTTGGGGATCTCAGCTTCTATGCTCATTAGTAATACTGTCTGTAATTTTGTTTTTGTAGTTTTTGTCTGGGTTTGGTATCAGGGTAATGCTGATTTCATACAATGAGTTTAAAAGTGCTCCCTCCTCTTTTTGGAAGAGTTTAAGAAGGAATGGCATTAATTTTCCTTTAAATATTCGGTAGAAGTCACCAGTGGTCCTGAGCTTTTCTCTTTATGGGGAGGTTTTTGGATTACTGACTTAACGGCCTTACTAGTTATAGTCCTTTTAGACTATTTCTTCATGATTCAGTATTTATGTTTTATGATCAGGTTTTATGTTTCTAGAAAAGTATCTATTTCAAGCAATTTGTTGCTGTAAAATTGTTCACAGTATTCTCTTATGATCCTCTGTATTTCTCTGAAATCAGCTGTGATGTCTCTTCTCTCATTTCTGATATATATTTTTTTCCTCTTAGTTAGCCTAGCTAAATGTCTGGCAATTTTGTTTACCTTTTCAAAAAACTAAGTTAGTTTCATTGATTTTTTTCCTATTGTTTTACAATACTTTATTTTGTTTATTTCTGCTGTGAGATCTTTATTTCCCTCCTTCGGATGTCTTGATGTTCTATCAATTAATAAAAGTGGCATACTGAAAGCTCCTACTATAATTGTGCCACTATTTCTCCCATTAGTTCTGCAATGTTTATTTCATATAGAAGGTGCCCTGTTCTTGGTGGCATTTATAACTATTATATTCTCTAGGTGAATTGACCCTTTCATCATTATATAATGTCCCTTGTCTCTTGTGACAGTTTTTGACTTAAAGTCCATTTTGTCTGATATAAGTATGGCCAATCCTGCTCTCTTTTGGCTCCCATTAGTATGGAATACCTTTTTCCACTCCTTCACTTTGAGCCTATGTGTGTCCTTAAATCTAAAGTGAGTCTTTTGTTGAAAGCATATAATTAGATCTTGTTTTTTTTTTTTTAAACCACTCAGCTACTGTATATCATTTGATTGGGGGATTTATTCCATCTATAATTAAAAGTAATTATTGATAGAGAAGGGCTTATTATTACATGCTTTAATTCTTTTCTCATTTTCTTTTGTGTATTTTCTATAAGTATTTTCTTTGTGATAATCACGGGGTTTACATAAAATATCTTATAACAATCTATTTTAAACTGATAATAACCTAACTTCAATCACACACAAAAACTCTACACTTTACTTTTCCTCCACCACCCTCCATGTTACTGATGTCACAATTTACATCTTTTTTATGTTGTGTATCCGTTAATATATTTCTATAGTTATAGTTATTTTTAAAATCTATTTGTCATTCAACTTCTATATCAGAATTTAAAACAATTTATGCATGTTAGGAAAATATAGGAAAATGGTCAGGGCCCCTCAGATGTTCAGAATCTTGCTGAGCATTGCCTGTAAATATCCTCAGGTGTTCCTTGTTACTATTTAATATAATTGCATATGGGCACCCAGGTGTCCTGGGTCATGGACTTGAGTATAAAGGACTAACAGCTCTAATCCACAGTGTTTCTTAGAACTCTCAAAGAAGCCACTAGGACAGCTGCTCCTAGCTCTGAATAAAGCCTATTAATTTTTTACCCACGGCTCCCAGGAACTTTTTCCTATTACCTAGGTCAGAGACCTGCGTGTGGAGGGTTTGTGACCCTGTCTGTGCAACAGATTTGAGGGGTCTATGAGCCCTAGCCCTAGTTTTACAATGGTCCATTACTGCAGTATTCTGTATTTGTTTATACATTTATCTTTACCAGTGAATTTTATACTTTAATATGCTTTCATGTGGTTATTTGGCATCCTTTTCTTTATTTATTCTTGTTGTCTTTAGACACTAGAATCTAAAGACCACATTTATTTATAAATAAAAATTGTCAAAAATATGCATCAGTGTTGTCTGGCAATTATAAATCAGATTTGAGCTCCTATTCCAAGACACAGGGTAGTGAAGGAGTTATGTTCCTAAAATCAATAATGCAGTTCTAGTCCATAAAAACTTCAACAATCTTAGTACTTACCAGTTCCTTTGCTTAGATATGGGGGCTTAAAGAACTTTACAACACCATAGACATTGACAATTGTACCACCCTTAAGTTGATTCAGGGGTGTGTATGTATAATTTGTTGCTGGAACCTAAAGAAAGAGAAGACAGTGAATATGTTAATATTAAGTATTTACATTTCAGAATCATGTTATGATTTTACTGGTATATTAGCAAATCCACCTAACTATATTTTATTCTTTTAAGTGTTGAAAAAAGGCTATAGTCTGAAAAAAGGCAATGCACAGCTTATAAAGGTTACTATACAAACCAACCAGTTTTCCTTAGAAATAACATTGTTTATAAATGGTGTAATTTGTATACAAGTCCATAAAAGCATAATTAATCCACAATGTAATTGAAGCATTATACTTCTTCAATAAAAAAGAAAATAATATATTAAAATATCAGCAATTAATGTGAAAACTGAAGCAATAACAGAAAATAAAATTTTTTTTTCTTTAAATTTGGGTATCCTCAATGTTAAAGATCTAGGAAAAGTGAGTTTTATTAAAGGGAAATAACTGAGGATGATGAGACATTTCTAGAAGCCCTTAAAGGGCAATTAGAATACTGGCTCTATCAATAAAGAATTCTATGGCTTGTAAGTTTAGAAATTCTTTTCTGTCTAGAACACTCCCAAGGGTAATAAAGCATCTAACAGGCCCTTCAGTAATTAAATCACTCTAGCTATCTTTAAGTTAGTACTTCCCCAACTTATCTGGCCAGGAAATCACATCTGGAAAACAAGAAATCATACTACTATGAGACACAGCAAATTCTAAGAAATGTAGTTAAAGAGGTTTTGGTTCTGGTTTTTAAGCTTAACAAATATCACTTCAAAATTTATGATATAATTTCTTTTTCCCCTCCTATATTGTTATAAAGATTTTATGTAGGTCCAAATAAAGCCAAGTTTTGATTCATAAATAGCATAAAGAGATTAAAAATAGTAGTAAGAAAACAGAAAGATTATTTTCTGAAATAATGTGCATAAGTTTGGGAAAAAAAGAGAAAATGTTTTGCAGGGCTATGTCTGCATATTAACCGAGATACCAAATCAGTCCTTAAAAGGCTTCAGTTTGGTGGCACATCATCCTCCCACCGCAGCCCAACTGGAAATTTGTATACCACCACTCCGAAAGTTAAAATTTTAAAACTCAAATCAAAATGAATTAATTGGTTCTTTCCAAGGAAGCCGAACCCTCAGGTCAAACACAAGAAGAATACAGCTTAGATATCTAATCAAATTTTAACATGAAATAAAAGCTAATCAATGATGAAATAAGAATAATGGTCAGCACATGGAACAAGAGAGAAAAGATATGTGCTAAGCTTATAAAATAACTGGACCCAATAATCTATCTTAAGTATCTCCCTAAAGTAGAGATGAATGGGGAAGGCCAGCACAGCTCAATGACACTAACCACTATGATCATCCAGGTAACAAAAACATGCCCTGCACTAATTGAAAGACAAACCATAGGACAGAAATAACTTGAATTCAGAGTCGCTTTAGAAAGAATCTTTGAAAAGATATTTTAAGGAAGGAACCAATTAAGCAAAGTACAGAAGTTGGGAATGAGACAAACAACAGTGTTCTAAAGCAGAGAAAACAAATTCAACACGTTTGAAAATCTGGAATGAGGTTTGCGTGCCTGGAGCACACTGGCCAAAGGTAATAACAGGAGTAGGTTGAACAGTAACATAGGGGTTTGTTTATGTTGGGCCTTCAGATCATTTAAGTGGGCCAATGAAATGTCTTCAAATCTTGAAGATTGTAGAAGATCAAACATTTATTCTAAGTCGCTTGAAAAGGGCCATTCTTCAGTTATTGGAAAACAAAATACTCTATTTCCTAAATTCTAAAAACACCTTTGTTTCTAAGATAAGACTAGTCATTTAATAATACATTTTCAAGAAAATATCAACACTTTTTAAGGAAGACATTAAGAACCTCAACAGCAATAACTAGCAGTTTTCTTAATATAAACTCCAAGATCTATGCTCAGTTCAAAAATGTGGAAATATGCAAAATTAGAATCTTAAAATTAGGAAAATAAAGTCAAATAAATATGCACCTAATTTACTTAAGTTAGAATACCTGGGCTTTGTGAAAAACCATTGTTGCTAAGTTCAGAAGCCTTTTTATTTACTTCTGTCTTATTTACAGGTTCATAGATATATCAAATATTTGAAGTTGACTATAACAATTGTGGGAAATACTAATACCCAGGGCTAATTTACATTTTTAAAAAAGTACATCAATCTTTTTATTGGTTGTAGTTTCTCCCCAAAACAAATTTTAATTATACTACTACTCAGAACTGAAAACCTATGTCCTGTAGTCACTGCCAACTAGAAACAAAGTTCCTGCACTCTTGTCCATTAGAAACTAAAGGTTTAAAAACATAAGTAGAACATATACATTATATTAAACTGTATCAATATATTACCTTCTTTCCAGTTTCACTCAGCTACAGGTAGCCCACCTGTAAAAATGGGAACCTTCCTATTGCTATGAGATAAAACTTTATAAATCAGTGAAAAACAAAAGATGTTTTTTTAAAAAAAAAAAAAAAAAAAGCAAAACGTATCACAAGTATAAAAAACTTCTTTACTTAAAATTACATAATTTGTCAAACCAAAATTCAGCACATGATAGTCTCTTTAAATACAAGCTAATGAAAAATAAACGAATTTGCCTACAGTTAAAAACTAATAAAAATCTCAGTGTCTTCATACAATAAAAACCTTTTTTTGATTTTAAGTTTCTTGTGTGTGTACAGTTTATGCAAAATATCAGCAGACATTCCAGACAACAGAATAATTAGATATCAATTACTAGGTAAATATATAACTTGAATGTAACATTACCAGACATAAAAAAGTAAAGATTATGTTTTCCCATTGTACTGATACAATTTCGAAGTCAGATAATAAAGTGGATCATATGTACCTATATGTGTGTTTATGTATGGATGTAGGTGTACATACTCTAAGTTAAACAATATCATCTTACCAAAGACATTGATTCTGTAGAAAAATCTCTTACAGATTTAACATAAACCTAGAAAGAAAAAACAGGAAGAAAAAGTTTATTTGTATATCAACAACCTACAATGTGATTACAGGCCTTCCACTGTAGTATAAATACACACTTAGCTGTATAATATTCAAATCCACCAGAAGGGCATAACATTACAGCTTACAAACTAAGAATGACATATACAAAGTTGTCCGAACTATAGCAACTAAAAAAATTAAAGATGTAACGCAAACAAAAATGTTCCTTAAAAAAACTTTGCATTCTTAGAGTTTAAATTACACCAATATTCAGTTCTCAGGATAGAATGTAAAACAGAATAAACTTCTATCAGCCCAACAGAAACGGAAGATTAGAGTTGATATTCAAAATTTTTCCTGCATAGGACTTTGGTCTTTTTCAGAAAGAAAAATAAAAGGAAGTGCAATGGTAATCACTCTAACTGCAAATCTCACCCATTTTCAGCCTACTTCATTAACTTTAATATCAAATCCGGCCATCTCTAACTCTTGCAGTGCCTTTGCGAATACTAGAAAAAAAAACAGGCAAATGTTGGCCTACAGGCACATAGCTTCCAACTCTACCTGACAGCCTTGACCGAAGAGGTAGTTTACAAAGGGGGAAGAGGGAGATAAGAGGGAAGAGTGAAGAGGGAAAGAAAGGATGATCACCTTCACAAAGAATAGGACAAAATCAGTTTTTAGTTTTACCTAAAAAGGGGTACTTGAATAATCCGAAGTAAAATCAAGTAGACCACCTAAAGTGCCTGATGGTATAATTACAAAGAATAGGATGAGGTCTAGAGTGTGCAGTTTTGTACGTTTCATTAAAAAGTATCTATAAAGGATTTTCCTTTTCTATCTGGAGTCATTCTAAACATAAAGGCAAAAGAAGAATTTCTATTTTTTAAACTTAAAATATTTCACTAAAATAATTCAGTCAGACTAAGTAGTTTATCTGCAGATTTACAGAAATAATGTTTCTATCCCATTACTTTATTAGCTCATTAAAACCACAATACGATTAGAGACTAAAAGTTGCACTTACATAAACAGTTGAAGTTTTCAAATGCTTTCAAAAATATGCAAAATTTACCATCTCTGCCTGTGGAAGGTGCTGACAAAACAATAAATCCAGTCACAGCAATGGTGTCCTATATAGAAAAAAAGTTTCTTAATCATCAAAATATTTATAATTCTAAATTTCTTATAAATCCTTATTTACATTATTATTTAAAAACAGGAATTACTTCTATAAAAGAGAAAACTGGTTAACCTAATCTTGTTTAATGCTTACTGAATATATGATTTAGACTATCACCTCCTTTAAAAGGGGCTTCAACATCTACAGCCACAATGTAGCCATCGATGAGTACAGTGCCCCACACTTCATGGACCAGGAAAATACTAAATCACTTAGAAGATTTTATTTATTTAATCTATTTAAAAGATTTTGTTTATTTAGATGTTCTAACAGTATTAAAAATGCAATTAAATGAAACTGAAATTCAAAATTGAGACTACATTGAGAAAAGTATGTCATTAGTGCAAAAATGCCACATTATTACAAAACTAATATATGCGTATAAATCCAGGGCATGAGACTTAAATAAGAAATTTCCATTTACATACTAATAAAAATAGAGACATTTTCTTTCTGCTTATGTTTATAACAAGAAGAAGCCATTATCCATTTATTCCTGCCTCTCTCATTCCTTAAATCTCCTTTTTCTTATTTTCCAGATACTAGAACATACTCAAACAGTTGTATCTTGCTGTATTATATATTTTTATTACTCTACTCCCCTAATTTTAACATCCAAATCTTAAGATATATAACAATTCCTGGGCTTTATGTCATGTTCCTTAAATAACCTTAGTATCTATCAAGTGGAAGTTTTCGGGACTACTGCTTTTTGCTCTGCACATATGAGGGTCTGGTGTCAATTCCCAGAATTCTCTATTCACATTCATTAACCTGGCTGTGAGTGTCTTGAAGACAGGTCATGTTTTATTCTGCTCTGTATTTACAGGGCCTGCATAAAGCAGGCACTCTGTAAACAAACAGTCTGTGAATCAAAGGAAGAATCTTATGCTGCCTTTTTAAAAATCTCTAGCCCCAACCTTACGTATTTAGCTTTGCAAATTCCTACATTTCTTTTCCTTCACTTAAGACTGCAAATATACCTGTGTGTATTCCAATGATGCCAAATAACCACAACTCTTTAGAGTAAAATGGGAGAAAATTTTCTTTCTCACTGAAGATTTATATATTTCCATAATACTTCAGCAGTTTAAAAGGAGAATAAAACATGCTTCTGAAATAAATAAATCATTGTTACAATTGAAACACTAACTCTGCTTTCAACTGATGAATACGTTTTGATTTAAATGAAAACTTAAGATTGCAGTAAAAAACTTAAAGTTGTTTAATCAAATTAACACAGGAAAGATAAATACAGGGAGGAGGCCACTGGTTTACAAAATTATCTTGATGAGCACCAGAAAGAATCTATCTCTTGTTGTTCTCTATTCTATTTAAAAATATTTTCAAACATAAACATTATATGGAAAGAAACACACCAAATGAAGTGTTGGGGTACAGATGATCTCTTCTCTTTCAATTTTTCTGTACAACCTAAATTTTTTAAAGAATGAGTATGTATTTCTTTTATTTTTTTTTTTTTTTTTTTTTTTTTTTTTAATTTTTTTTTTTTTTAAATTTTTTATTTTGTCAATATACAATGTATA